CAGGGACAGCCTGTTCTTGTGCCTTTAAGATTTCCGTCTTGAGGAGCGTCCAGGCTTCCTGGACCCCTTTACCCTAAAGAAGCAACTCCCAAGGGACCTGTTCTACAAGCACCCTGAACAGATCAAAGTCTGCCCTCTGGAAGTTCAAGAAAGTAGTTTTGCTGGTCACTTTTGACACCTCCAAGAATAGAGAATTCTACAATTCCATGGTCACTCTGCCCAAGATGGTCCCCAGCCTTCACTTCTCCCACCAGTCCTCCTCTGTTAGCAAAGACCAGGTCAAGCAGGGCACCACCCCTGGTAGACTCTCCTACCAGTTGCACACTGCTTCTTCCTCTGTGCTGTATTATATTTCCAACATATATCAGGGAAGTTGAAGTCTCCCATGAGAACAAGTGATGGCGATCGCGTGACTTCTGTGAGCTGCTCATAGAATGCTTCATCCAAATCTTCATCCTGGTTAGGTGATCTATAACAGACCCCCACCAAGATGTTGCCCCTACAGGCCTTCCCCCTGATCCTTACCCACAGACATATGGGTACATATACATATTCATATATATGAATACATCCATGCAAACATGTGCAAATAGATACTGGATCAGGTAAAAATGGGAAATTCAAAAGCATTCACCCAGATCATAACTTTTGTTTTTGCTGGCTTTAATTGAGAGCCCTTGTACTCTTTGTGGAGCTCTCTAAAATTGGATTAATATTAATAGATAACACTATAAATACTGCATATTTGCTACTCAATTCAAGACTGTGTAAGTAAGCAGCGCTGCTCTGCTTCAAAATCCTAGTAGTATACTCCAACTATGTCCTCATCAATCAAATGGTACACAGTATTCAGGAAGGCAATTCTTCAAACGAATAGCCCAGAAACTAGTTCTGTATAAAAACTCCTTGCTCTGTTATTTTTCATTCACAAGCATACCCTTCCCCCATCGGCATAACAAGGATTTTCCAAGGCTAAAACACAGATTCAGAAGAGGAATTGTAAAGAGCTCCTGCCTGCCAGTTGTGAAAAAAATACATATTTCTAATATTTATCTTTCAAAAAATCTTATTTGTCATTAACTGTAGAACCCGAGTGATGCCATTAGCAACAGAAACTTTGCAATGAGATACTATTGTTCCAAGGTCTGGATCTGATTAATGTTTAGAGAAATACCTAAGAGCTCTTGTGTTTTGATTAAGAAAAAAGATACCGAATGCATTAAATGCAGGTTCTGAAATGTACAGCTAATCTACTTCCAAATTCATTTTCAATTCAAGCATTTTACATAAAACTTAAAGATCAGTTTATATTTTGATTGTGTTAGTTTCTTCGAGCAATTTCATGGGAAAAATGCAACCGTCCTGGCACAGAATACAATTTCTGCAGACCTTATTGCTGACTGCAAGATACCAGAACTCAGGCTGTTTTAGTGGAAAGCTCTTACTGTTTTGAAAGGGGATATTTAGGAAGCATCTCAACTAACTTGAACGGAAGACCACATTTCCCCTAGGAAAGTAGAACAGACCGTAGAAAATAAGTTGCAACAGTAATACATAAGACAGTGTATGTACGTCTAGTTTGTTTTGAACCTTCTTTTGTTCCAAGATACTGGTCTCATTAGTTATTTCCTGCAGTTTACTTTATGGATAATTACTTGGAAATTAAATAGGAAAAAAAGTAACTTCTTTGCATAACAATTACTTTACAGAATTCTAAGGAAATTCTCATTATTTTCCCCCTGTTCATGCTCAGCACCCTTCAAAGAGACTCTAAAATTACTTCTATGTATTTTAAAGTCCTCCTGAAGCTTAACTTCTAAATAGAAAATAGGGAACACTTATACTGAAGCTCTCTGATGCTCACTGAAATTGTCAGTTAGTAAATATGAGTGGCTGTGCATTTTTAAATGTGTTTGAGGATAAATAATTAAAACTAAACTGGTTCAACAAGCCTCCAGTGCAATAAAATGCCAAGTAAAAAAAGATAAAAGCTGTATTTCTCATTTCTAAAGCCCATCTTTAACAAAATCATCTTCCTGATCTGAATAGGTCAGGATGTTGGATTTGTGAACTTCAGTATTTGACTTATGAACTGACAAGGTGGGACAGATCCCAAATAGCTGTGACAGCGGCCAGGAGACCTTTTGGTCACTTCCACATTAAAAATAGTATTGTTCTTAAATTCTAGTTCATCAAAGTGCTTTCTTCCTCTCCTTGTGGGTGAGAAAAAACTTGTTTCTCACAAGCTAAAGATACCCCAACAGCCAAAATCTACTGAAATTGGTACACATTTCTGCTGCTTAAACCAGAAAACACTTCAGAATATCCCTTTCTGCACAAAGTAGCTGAATACAGCTATGCTGATCTACCACACTACAAGGAACGAGCAGTCTTATTTCTAAAGTTTTCCTGTTGTCATCAGAAAGTATACATCAGCAATGTATATGGATATCATATCTGACTGTCTCACGTGCACTTAAAAGCATTAACCTGTTTCTGATACAATTACCAACAACACAATGTCATAAAATGGTAAACAATATTAAGTATATGAATTACCAT